AAAGACAATAACCCCAAATGTAACATCAACCACTTCCTTAGCGCCAGAAGAGGCGGTAAATTTCAAAGACGTTTTTAATGATAACAAAATAAAATATGGACAGAGTCCTCCAAAGCTCAAAGAAGACAAAGAAAGCCCAGAGAGTATTCAAGAAACTAAACAAACTGAAAAAGCTGCTACTCATGTTAAAGATGCCAAACAGGAAGCACCTGGAAGGTTCATCTTGGAAGGTTTTAAATTTACATCAACTCCTAAATTATCAGAACCATCAAGTGAAAAGTTAAAACAGGTTGAGGGAACAAAAAAAGAACCACAGTCCAATCCAAGTTCTTTTTCAGGTTTTAGCTTTACACCACAAAAACTGGCAACAGGGTTTACATCATCGACATCTCTTTTTGCTGGACTCAACTATACTCAGAATAAGCACAATTTGTTTGAGAACCTAGACGAAGAGGACATTTATAATGATTCTGGCCTAATAATTACAAACGAAGTATCCAATAAGTCAATTTTAAAAGACACACCAAAAGATAATGCCATGACGCCGGACAGTGCCAAAACTTCTACAGGCGGAAAAAACTTTCTCTTTCAAGGCACAAGTATAACACCGAGCCAGCAAGCGACATTGTCAGCCCTGCTCACATCTCCCCAAACATCAGTTTTAGACATTGCCGCACAATCTAAAATTAACGAGAACAAAACACCACCACTTGAAACTGTAAAATCTAAAGGATTTGAAGGGGCTGGGACTCCAGTGTTAGGTGGCCAGAGTACAATCAACATATCCAGGAATTACAGAGAGCCAGCTGGAGAGTTTGTTCCTGTCATTCCCTTTCCTGAGCTGGTCGATGTGAAGACAGGAGAAGGAGGACAAGAAGTCTTGTTTGACGAGAGAGCCAAGCTGATGATATTTGACCTGAATGCCAAGGAGTGGAAGGAACGAGGTCTCGGACAGATGAAAATTTTAAAAGATCCTGTCAATGGAATTATCAGATTGTTGATGAGGAGAGAGAAAGTGCACAAAGTATGTTGTGATCACCGGATCATCCAGAGCCTGGAGTTAAAACCTTCGCTATCCTCTGAGAAAGCATGGACATGGCATGCTGTGGATTATGCAGAAGGAGCATCGAATGAACTTTTTGCTATACATTTTAGGACAGTTGAGTTGGTGAGTAGATTTTAAAATCTGAAATCTAGTATTAAATGTCTGCCATTGAAGTCTTTGTACAGATTTTAAATAATAACAATCACAGGATTTTCTTTAATTCTAATAATGGAAGAGACTAGTTTGAAAACAAATTTAATAATATTAATTTACTAACTTATTCCAAAATAGTTCCATAATAGAATGCATTTCTTTTTTGAGAGTTGTTAGCCTCCTGATTACGTTGAAATATTTATAATTCAATATAGCAATTTCAAAAAACCTAAACAAACTAAATGACGTCAAACTTTTCTATAACGCTAAACACAAGACGTCCTCTTCCAATATGCTTAATATTTCTTAGTAAAACATGGAAAATAAACCAATGTTATGCCACATTATTAACTTCTGATGTATTTCCACCTCTACCCACTTAGGTTTTTGTACAGTAAATAGCCTAAAGAAACTGAGATTATTATTCAAATGTGATAAATAATTTCATAATGGTGTGGCCTCTGGATCGTCTGAAGAACGAAGCAGCTGTAGTCACTACGAACTACATAGGATCGTTTTGGACAGAACAAGGTAATTTAAACCACTATACGTTGACTAATAATGACAATGTGTAATAACAATGTATCTTTTTTAACAGGCTAAGCAGTTTAAAGAGACTGTAGATGAAGTACAGAGACTGCTGTGGGAAGAAAGTGCATCACAAAGAAGCTGTCCGGATACATCACCTCAGTCAAGCAATGCCACAAATGTAACAAAACCTTCAGAAGCGGATACTTTGCCTAAACTGTCGGAGCTGTACAAACCCAAGTCTGGCAGTTGGGAGTGTGAGTGTAAAGCTTGCTACACAGTGTATGCAGCCAAGGACAGTCAGTGTGTGTGCTTTGACAGTCCCAAGGACAAACCCAAGTCTCCAGCACTACAAAAGACATCAGGGACAGCAGCATTACTAGCAGAAATGTTCAAACCCAAGGCCGGCTTGTGGGAGTGTGGGGGATGTCTAGTTAGGAATGAAGCTGACAAAACTGTCTGTCCGGTGTGTTCCACTCCCAAACCTGGACATGAAGCGGACGTCAAGGAGCCAGCAAAGTCGGGACAAACATTGTTCAGTTTTGGCATCAAACCTGAAGACAACAAAACCAGCTTAACTTTTGGTTTGCCAAGGGAGAGTTCTAAGAGCTCATTTTCATTTGGATTCAAACCTGCTGAAGAATCTACTCAATCGTTCAGTTTTGGCATGAAACCTGAAGAGAACAAAACCGGCTTAACTTTTGGTTTGCCAAGGGAGAGTTCTAAGAGCTCATTTTCATTTGGTGTCAAACCTGCTGAAGAATCTACTCAATCGTCCAGTTTTGGCATCAAACCTGAAGAGAACAAAACCGGCTTAATTTTTGGTTTGCCAAGGGAGAGTTCTAAGAGCTCATTTTCATTCGGTGTCAAACCTGCTGAAGAATTTACTCAATCGTCCAGTTTTGGCATCAAACCTGAAGAGAACAAAACCGGCTTAATTTTTGGTTTGCCAAGGGAGAGTTCTAAGAGCTCATTTTCTTTTGGTGTCAAACCTGCTGAAGAATCTACTCAATCGTCCAGTTTTGGCATCAAACCTGAAGAGAACAAAACCGGCTTAACTTTTGGTTTGCCAAGGGAGAGTTCTAAGAGCTCATTTTCATTCGGTGTCATACCTGCTGAAGAATCTACTCAATCGTCCAGTTTTGGCATCAAACCTGAAGAAAACAAAACCGGCTTAATTTTTGGTTTGCCAAGGGAGAGTTCTAATAGCTCATTTTCATTTGGTGTTGTAAATCCCTAAAAACCATCTAAACCTTTTACATTTTCCCTCGAATCCGATGTTGTTGCGTCTTTGACCGATTCCACTACCCCTACGTCTGAAGTTAAAGAACCGACCCCCTTCAAATTGAACTGAAACAACTCCATCCAAAACATTCGAGTTTGGTGACTTAAATTCTCTTACAGGTAAAACTCTTCTGCATAGTTGCTGAGGTTATTTTGTGTGCTCATTTTTTTCTTATATTTTTTGTAAAGCCATTTTGTGAACCTTAACTTTCAATTTACTTTTTCCTAACCAAGGACTATACATTTTTGTCTTTCTGTTATATTAGTCTTTTTACGTGTTTTACACGGTGCCTATAGAGAAATGCAGGGCAGAATATACATTTGATTGAAGTATGACCCACTGATTTTTGTAACTGTCTAAGTAAAACAGAAGCAGTGCTGTTTGGAGGGGCTTGGAAGTAAGAGTTCAGCTTCAGCGGGGTGAAGACGTGCAAGTCACCTGGTTTTCAGAGTGGTAGACAGTCGCCTTCTTCTTGAAAGAGCCTATCATATTTTCCTCATAGGCTTACCTAATCTATGTAACTTTAATCAATAGCAATGCAGTTATCTTATTGCATTAAGATTAAATAAAAAATAACATGCTCCTTTATTTAGAGGTATAGCGAGAAGCACACATAAGATGTATGTGTTATTAAATGAATTTTTAACAGGTATCGGTATCGAGTGCAGAATCGAGAATCGAAACCAAAGTTGTAGAATCGGAATCGACTAATTCAGGAATCGGCCCATCACTAGTAAAATTGTAACTCCTGAACTGTGGTTGCAGATTACTTATGAGGAGAGAACCAATCTTGAAGATAAGTCTGAACCACTACCTGAAAGTAGAGATGGTGTTTACTCTCAAGGACGACCGTTCGTGGCTTTGGAGTGCTCAGGACTTTGCCGACGGTCAACTGAGCATTGAACAGCTCTGTCTTAGACTCAAGACCCCAGAGATCGCTTCAGAGTTTAAAGCCGCTATAGAATAAAAAATAACATGCTCCTTTATTTAGAGGACAAGCACAAGTATTTTGTTTATTAATTTTTTTCTTCTGTTGGGATTGTTATGGTAATTTTTTGGAGTGTGAACAAATAGATTGGACTCAGCGAGTAAATATGTAATCTAGAATAAATCCTTTTTTTATTAAATATTTTGGATTATTAAATAATGGAAATCAAATTTATGCATACTGTACCACTTAACGTTTTAGGATGCCTGGATTAGGTTAATTGTAGTAAGATTCTTAGAGTTGTTTGAAAACTTGATGGGAATTAATTTTATTCATCTCTAATTTCGTCGTGAAGGTTCGCCTACATTTCTGCTTTCGGTTTTATCAGCTTTCTGACCATTAGTTTGAAGCAAATTTAAGTTGGGTCACTTTATTTCTTTGAATAGTAGATCTTTCTTTGATTTGACGCATTCCTTTAAACCAACGGATTTTCTCCACAAGGGAATTGTGAAAAGTGGCGTGATATCAACCATTTCAGGTACTCCATATTTTATGTAGACCACAAACCACAAACTCTGGGTTACCAACTGGACAGCCATAATCTGCTTTGAATATGGCAGCAACACCATTGGAAGCTGGTTAATTGTAACTTTTGTTGACTTATTGTCTGTCAGTCATATCACATGCACATACATTACGTGTAACAAAAACAAACATCCTGCATTTTTATTTTTCCTGGAAAATTCACAACACTATAAAATGCACCAATAATTCCCGGAATTCCCGTTGCGTGGACACCCTGAGTGACATCAGTTCTCCCTCCCCCCCCTCACACATGGCAAGACACAGCAGCACTCACAGATTCAAGCCCAATGTTTTCACGGCTTGATGAAAGTTTTGCGTAACATATTAATTCTGTGGTTGAAGTCCACCCCTTTCCAAAACCACATCCCAACAAGCCACAATGCTTTGCCTAGAAAAATACAGTGTAACTGCTGTTTTTGTAAAAAACTACATGGGAACAAAACCATTATGCCACTAACTAAGTTCTATCGACTCACCGATGACGAGGCAGTTGTTCTCGTTGAACTGTAAATACTGCTCTAGAACAGACTGGGGAAGTCCCCACACTTTGGGCAGTAGTGACTTGGGGAACTGAGGCAATGGGCCTGTAAACAGTTTTACACATCCAGTGAATTATTCGTTAAATGTAAGAGTGTTTCGGTTATACTACTAATTTTGAAGATTAAAAAATTTTTAGAATGTATATCTCAGAATATTAGTTGTTGTAAATATTGATAAACACACAGAAGTTTGTCTTAAGAATGTGACATAGAGTAAAAGGGCCTAAATTTTTAGGATTTTTCAGGATAGCATTTTGCAAATTTTATATATTACAGCATAGCGTGCTACAGAGTTTTTTTCCTTGTTGTAGTAAATTATTATTGGACAACTATAATTTTTTGTAAAACATTTCTAAATGATAGTTATATTTATTAAAGTAGGAAATTGACTTTACCTACTCATCCAGAGTTTATATGTTTTATCAATATTTAAAAAATGTGTTTAAGCTGTGCTAGTGTTTTTCTGTCGAATCTTGTACCAATAATGATGATTCCAGTATCAAGTACTATGTGAAGTTTCTGCAAATTTTAAAAAATGTTGCACAAAAACTAATTATTATATGTTATAAAATACTTAAATTCTTAAGCAACCTGGAAACAAAATGGGTTTTCAATCAACAACAAACAACAAACAGTTGATTAAAACATTTACCTCTGATACTGGCAAAACAATCTTACCAAATAATAACAGTTCAGGTTGGAATTTAGTTTTCAATGAGCCATACATGTACATAATTACAAATAATATATATTTTACAGCTAATAAAATCAACACTTGTTCGTCTGAGGATTTCGTAACAAGGTATTTCTAGCTAGACCTGGCAAATGAGAGCACTGTAATTCACTTACGTTCTTTGACGGGGACCAGAGGAATGTAGTGGTTTCGGGCCGGGCTGCTCCAGGCTAGACACAGCGGGGGGTTCAGCCTGCCTGCTTTGTTGCAACACCTTTCTGGGGGAAACAACCCCGGTAGGAACACAGCTGAAACACATCCAAACTTTTATAGTCGCTTGAGAGAAGATTATTTAGCTTGGGAACACAGTGAATAAGGGATGAATACACAACTAACCTAAGAGCTCCAGGCAATTGATAGCACTAACAAGTTTAATGTCCAGTAAGTTGGATATTATTTAACTCCTTGGCGGAGGGCTTTTTGATTAGGAATTGCCTTTTGACTTTTTACTGTATATTCTTTAAGAATTTCCCTTACAGGGGTGAAATATAAAGCTAATTTTGGAGCAGTGTGTCTTTTCATGGATAAGTTTGTTATAAATCAATTTCTTCCTTCTTACCATAAGAGTACGGTAAACACATTTTGGACATGTGACGTACGATATTTTTGCTATAACTTACTAAACTATCTTAACATTTAAAAAAACTTTACAAATTGGTTATATATTCCCATCGACTAAAGGACTTAACAATGACTCACCACTCATGACTAAGAGAGGTTACGTTTTCTTTTATTGATTTGTCGGTCGACTTGCTGCCAATTATAATCAGCTGGTGTCTGGTAAAAATCCATTACAGTACAGTAGCAAGTTATAAAATCACATTTGATTAAGTAGGCAGCAAAAAGCTGTTTCCCGGACTAACTTCATGCATGGAATGTCTATTAAAACATTTTGGACGAGTTACGTTCGATAGTTTACGCCATACTACTAAATCTGTACAAATCCTTATATATTACCACCAACTAAAGGACTAAAAATCACTAGTCATAACCTCTAAGAGAGGTTATGTTTTTGTTTATAACCACTCAATGCCACCCAAATACAGTATAATCAGCTGATTGGTGTCCGGTAAAACTGAACTCATTACAGTACAGTAGTACGCAATGAAACCCCATTTGATTAAGTAGGCAGCAAACAGCTGTTTTCTGGACTAAATCCTTGCGTGGGAAGTTCGTCAAAATAGTGTAGTGTGGCATTAAGTAATTTATGTCAATACATAATATTCTCTAACTGCTACTTATACACAGAAAAAAGAATAATGCTATTCAATGCCTACGTGTAACTGTGAAACCATAACATCCTACTGTGTAGTAGGTAGCCCCTATCAAACTGGGGTGGATGATTCAACACTGGAACTCCGTTTTCCTTTAATCATTGGAATGATTCTTGTTTAAGAACTGATGACAGTCTAGCTATCTTCCATTCTACACTTATTCTCTTCATTCAATACGGACAAAGGATTGACAAGGTTGAATATAGATAAGGATTTGGAATTTAACCTAATTTCGTATTCGTTTTAAGTACAATAGAAACTAAATGTACAAATTGACTTGTTGAGAGAAACTCAATCCGCAGAACTATAAATGTTTTAGGCAACATCTAGACTAGAGGGTTTCTATTGCATTAATGACTAAAACCCGAAACTGAGCAAGTTCCCTTTACTAGAAGTCTGCAGGTCTTCAATATTTCTGAACGGGTCAAGCCAACAGTTGGTTTGTGTTTGGGCCAGACATAGTCCCGAGCTCAGGTCGGGTAATTTATGTTGGAGGTAATGTTCACACCTTTTTCCGCAATCACGAGAAAATTTTAAAATTTAGCAGTGACTCATAAAGACATTCTTGAATTCACCGTGACAGCGGGAAGGTTCACAATTTAACCGCTATTGCAGAGATTATTTACAATATTGTGTAAACCGAAGTCTAACACAACAATTAATATTTTTGGCCCATGGACCCTTCCTCTCCACCATGAATAGTTTGCACATACCGGCATAGTCGGCAGAAGTGTTCATGCCGGCCACTGAGTCCAGCAGCAGGATGGGTCGCCGCAGTACATTTGCCAGCCCGAACACATGGATGGGTCTTAGACCCACGATACCATCAGGTGGGACAAAGTCTGGGTCACACTCCGCAATGATACACGGCCACTCCGACCCGTTGATAAAGTCTCCTAGGAGTTCCTGTACAAGTTGAGAAATTAAAAAACTTGTATACACTTTATTATGAAGCATAAATGGTGAAAATATTATACTTGGAATTTAAATGTTTGCATCAAATTTCTTAAAATGCGGATCGGCTTTACCTGAGTTATTGTGCTAACGTACATTTATATAGCCTGTATTTAAATGATTATTCGACTGTAGGCATTTAAAAGAATCAGCCCTGCTTCTGGGTCTTATTATTTATGGTAATAGCTTATTCCCTTCTCAAATATTTGGTAATAGCTTATCTCCTTCACAAATATTGGCCATATGGTAAATGTGCTAATTAAAGACTGAGCCACTTGACCCTGTGGAAAAGGGACGGAACAATTTTACTCCTAATGATTAGTAAAATTGTTCGAGGGAAGTGTTGGTTACGTATGTTTCTACCTTGAACCTAACAAAAGATAAATTCTTTTCTCATGATTATGGGAAGGTACCTATAAATGAATTGCAAGACAGTATTTAAATAAATGAAAAGAAAATGGATTGAGTTAATTGTACCTAGCTAACCTAATAATGAAGTGAAATTGAGTTAGTTAAATTTAACTCTAGCATTATTAAGTTTACAGCTTGCTAATTTCTCTACATTTTAGTGATTGGAGGTGACAAACAAGTGCTTTGGCTGTTTATTTATGAATTTAAAGCAATGAATAGAAATGCTATATAGGCTAATTTAGACTTTATTTAAGCTTTAAATTTAATTTTGTTTAGGCCTACTTTACTTTTTTAATGAGGTTGGCGGCCTCTTTTAACCTTGCATTTGCCCGTCCACATAGACTATGGACCTGTGCATGGAACGTATCCAGCAAAGGAAAGGGGTGAGCCGGTACTGTACACGCTGACTTGGGCTTGGAGTCCATGACCGTGACGCGACCGACTCACCACATTACCTGAATCAATTAACGTCACAGACTCACAAACAATTTAATATCAGCCCAATAGCAAGGAGGTCTGGAGATCATAAAACCCCATTGTTCATTGACAATCTTTGGAAAATAAGTGCTAAACGTTGAGTTTTTAATGTATTGTTTACTAGACGTTACACACTAAATAGTGTAGTACCATTTTTCATATTTTCCTACAAAAATGACTAATGCTCATACAACAGATAACTTTTGAACTTCACTGGCTCCTTGAGGGGGTTAGAGGGCACGGTCCCTTTATGCCCCCTCATGGCACCTACGCCCAGCATATTTAGGAGTGGGTCCATCTCAGTTATCCGGTTACTAAGTAAACTTAATTTGGAATAAAAACTGCATTAAAACTGAAATGATCAAAATTAGCCTAATTAAAATTTGTCTGAAGTAAAAAAACTGAAAATAGTAAACTGGACTATTCCAAGATCTGCATTTAGTTTTAGCATGCATTCATATTAGCTGTGAACAATCATCCTAAACTCAGTACACTTGCTGATTGTATTCTCACACAATAGAATCAAATGACCGAACCTTGTAAGTATCCAAATGATCCTTGAAGTGAATTTGGAGGTCAACGCGCAGCGGGTGCCAGAACATTTCTCGGCCAACCAACGCTCTGGAAACTGCATGTACCAGGCAATGGCCATCGCCATCTACGTGCAGCGGAACTAGGGTCTCTCTGCACAAGTAAAATTAGTATTAATTTAACTGACTACTTGATCCCCACCAATCAAAAACCATTACGCAATAGTAGACGGCTTTACACAGCTAGTTCGTGTTGTTGTTTTGACTGTTTATGTTCTAGTAAATGTTTGTTTACGAGTTGTTTTGGTAATAGTATTGCAGGTTGTGAACATGTACTTACGTTGAAAAATACATTTTAAACCTTTAAAAAATGATAGTACCACAACTTATTTGTGTGTTTTACTGATAGCTTTTGGCTAATTGCATAAACTGTACTGGTAACTGGACTTTGGTAATTGAGGCCTATAGGTGCATTTGATTATATTTTGAACGTTTGTATATTTTGTACATGGCTTCTAATAGTAATTTGAATTATAAACATAATAATACACATAAAATACAGTAAAATGTAAAATGATATAGCCTAGTTTTGTCTGTAATAACATAAGTCTTAGATCATGATTTAGGTTGTTTGCTGGGTAGGCCCTAGAATTTTTTTGAGACCTCTCTGTTACATATTTTTATGGACATATAAAACAATTATATTTGTTATTACATAATTTCTCAGTTTTTAATGTTCTTTAAAATCAATGTAAAATTGAATGTCTATGAATAAAGTCCAGGAAATCCACCAACTAACCAATATGGGAGCCGTGTCCACGACTGGAATACCACCCCCCTAGCAAAATGTGATGCTATGTAATTGTAATTTTAATTTGAATAATTCAGTTTTATAACAGAAAAGGGGGAATATCAAACAGAATTTTGAAATGTTACAGCAAGTTTGATTGGTTAAGTTTGAAAACGAATCTTGAGTGTCCATGAATGGAAAACTTTAAACTCGTGGAAAAAGAGGACACAAACACAAATTTATCTCATTAAGCCAGTCTTCAAGTTTGTTATTGAATAAGAAGTTAGTTTATTGCTAAAGATGGTCTGGAAATATGGAAAAATAGGGAAAGAATATTAGTTATATTAGAGTAAGCAGCTAGGCCTATGTTTCCTTCCTACTTTGCTGATTTTCATCCATGGGACAGTTTTGATTTGCTGCAAATAGTTTAAGCTTTGACAACAAATAACTTACTTGTTATCATTGTAAGGCAGTAGCAGAGCCAGTGTGTCTGCAAGGTAGCTAGCACTTCCGCTCTGATCCCTGCCGTAGCCGCTGATGTTCAAATGTCTCTCCTCGATACTGAAGCATCTGTCTCCGAACACACTACAGTCCAATGTTGGTCTCTGCAGAAGCTCCTTGAGCGGTCTCGCCTTTCCTGTCTTCTTGTCCATTCCATGAGTCGTTAACAGATGGGACAACAGCTTGTGATGGTAGTTTGAAACTCCGAGCACTTTAATTGTTTCAGGACCTCTCTTAGGAGTCTGAGTTTCTACCAACAAACTGGTCAATAGACTTTGCAGCTTGGTTTCCAATCCCTCAACAGGTTTTTTATCGGGCAATTCTTTCACATTGTGAGTCTGACCGCATCCCCGACACGCTACTGTTGTGAAAGCAGCCGGGAAAATGATACGGTATTGACAGTACTCGTCTAGACAAGTGCTGTAGAACATGCTCCTGCAAATAAAAATAGGCTATTTTAGTTTTGTCTATTTGAAGACATATTAGAGGCTAACTTATATAAAAAATAATAAGTTATGGACTAGATAGGACCTAGGTATTGACCACAGTATCTAGAGAGAAAAGGTCATACACTTCAGTTGGCCCTGTTGTTTTTGGACTGTGTTGTAGGCCTAATCAAAATCCATACGAAAAATACATCCAAGGTGATTAATCTGTTATTAGATTTTTTCATACAAAACGTATGGAAGTGTAGTAAGTTAGGTAACAAAGCTTACTCAGGATGGCTAATAGTTCAACACTGACCAGACATAACAGGCTTACCCAGCACATGCATAACACATGGATTTGGACAGCTTTCCCTTAAGTTAGAGTTTTAAGTTCCTCTTGTGATTCATTGTAAAAATGCCACTGTTGTAGAGATATCAAGAAAAAAAGGTATTTATTCCGTACAGGTGCCTCCAAACGAATTTATAATTTTGATATCTTACTTTATAGTTTTTTACCTCCTAAATCCAAATATACCATTAATTTTCACCGCTGATGAATATTTCTCAAGATATGGCCGTAAAAACATACCTAACATTACAATAAACAAGATAGGATGGATGACATTTTACAAGTGGAATGAACTGTAGGTTAACTAAGCCTTAAGCCTACTTACAGCTGATTGTTTTCAACCACACGACAAGAACAACTGGAAGTAACAACTTTTGAACTTCATTAACTCACTCTGATTCTGTCACCGGCAATTTGCCTATTGACGACATTTTACTTCACTACAAATAAAATACAAAACAAAATACTCATTCGTACCTACTCATACGTGTTCCGTAGTGCTAGCTAAGTGCTATTCTGTAGAGATTTTTGCTTGCTATTCTGCAAGCATTTTTGAAATAGTTATTTGAAGTGTTTTTCTCAGGATTTTAATTTTACAAAAACAGTCTGCAGGCGACATAAACTAACAACTCGATACATTATAACCTAAACTTTAACTTACCTAATCTAACCTACCTTCAAAGGACTTAATGCAGTCACCAATTCACATAAAGCACGACCTATCACCCTGACATGCCTTTTCTGACATCAAAAGGAGTTTGCTTACACATTCTAGAGGTTTGGTTAGGTTAGGTTATGTTAGAATAGTACCATTTTAGTATGTAATTTCTAAACGGCGAAATATAAATCAATAAATCATTAATAAGGATAAAATACTGGAAACAATAATACATTATTAACTTATTGGTCTTAGTAAGTGAAAAGTGTACTTAACTTAATCAGGTGATTTTCATATTGCAGAATCAGAGTTAGCTAATAAAAGTTGTCACTTCCATTTGCTTGACTATGATTGAAAACAATCTGCTGGTTGGTTTAGTTACTTAACCCATCGTACATTCCACATTCCACTTGTAAATGTCATCCATCCTACCTTGTTTATTGCAATGTTAAGTATGTTTTTACGGCGATATCTTGAGAAATATTCATCAGCGGTGAAAATTAATGGTATATTTGGATTCAGGAGGTAAGTTAAAAAACTATAAAGTAAGATATCAAAATTAAAAATTCGTTTGGAGGCACCTGTACGGAATAATTACCGAAAAAAAAGATAATAAGATTTATTAAGTGTAAAAATCACATGGGGGACTAGCCTAGGGCCTTCTTGGCAACTACCGGTACTAGTTATGATTGCAACTACAAATCTACGGTAGCCTATACAAAAAATAGCCAACTCTTACTGTGATATCCAGTGTTTCATCTCTGACCTTAGGTCACTAACTTAGCATCCCCCTGACCATTCATTGTAGGCATATAAACTTAAAGGGCTGCACCAAAGTGCATGCCTAGTAAGATTCTGGTAGGTCTATAAAATATTTGTCTAAATCTGAACTTAATTGGTTAGGTTTGGGTAAGAAGAATTTTACACACAATTAATTGACCTAGGGCCTACAATAAGATGATAGCCTAATATCTCTTAGTAGGCCCTAAGTAACTTAATTAAGTAGGCTAATATATCTAGTCTAGCCTAGGCCTAGTCTAGGTTTACAAAGTTAAGATTTACTTTCGTGATAGGCCTACTTATATTTGCTAAGACTAAGTAGCCTATAGCCTATTTAGGACGAAGGACCTTATAAAACTGGGTCAAATGTTCTTAAACCTAATGATTTCCGTGTATTGTTAATATGCATAGGCTAAGGCCTTGTTATAAGCCTAGGCCTACCTAAATAAATGTTGGTTTGGCCTTTAGGCCTATTAGGCTTTTCTTTTAGCTCAGTGAAATTAAAATAGGCTAGGCATAAGTTACACCAGTTTCAATGTAGAAATTAACTTTAAAATCAGATCCAAGTACCGTAACGAAATAACATGAATATTGTAAATGTTCTTTTCGAGAGCCAGAGCATTCTCTTCCCCCGTGTCTACTAAGTTACTTAGCTTAGGCTATTCAACAAAGGCTAATTTACTCACATATTGGAAGAGATGAGGAAACTAGAAAACTGATGTTCAAAGCAATATTCCAAAATATTGGCTGTTCCCCTGAATCATATTTCGGAAACACTCATGGAATGAAATATTTACATTTCTTAACAAGTCAATGACATAAACAAAACCATATTCTTTTGTAACAGTCACATTCACAATCACAAAAATAAAGCAAAGTAAGGACTAAGGAAAGGAAATAAGATTTTTCAGAATATAACGAAAACAGAAAACATATGATTATGATGATGACTGACTGACAGAATTGGACGACATTCAGATTCAATTCAATTCAACTGGCAGTGGCTTGGCTTTGGAAAATCGGCAAATCACAATTCAGCTTTTAGATTTTTTGTGGTTTATCCACAGCCAACCTAAAACCAACGAGCAAGTTAAACAGCCTGGCGTCACATATAGCATACGAGCTGTATGTATATGATACGTGTATTGCAATGCAAGCTAATGAAAAAACTTGCCATAGTGGTGATCAGAAATCTTACATACAGTATTCTTTCTCCAATTAGTTTGTCAACAATCCCTTATCATAGTGGGTGTAACCATAGACTAACCAACACAAGTAGACTTCTCATCCCATTGTAAATTTTGAAGCTCGTTTTTCATGTCTAGTTCATGTACGCCACACTGGGCGCTAGTGTCAACGAAATTTTGTTTCTATTATTTTAGGGTTAATTTCTTGATTTGTGCTTTACTGTTTGGTTAAATAACTAGGGGACAATTTATTATTTATGATTAGATCGTATTATTTGGTTAAACGAGGGTTTAAATGACTGTATTAACGGGAAACAAATTGTAAACAAAACACGACCTCTACAGAAAACCGTACAGAACTAACAATAAAATTGTCTTCAGCTGTTCCATTAGGATGAGAAATCTACTAAGGGAGTATGTTTTTATCTATGGTGTAACTAAGATTTTTTATGGGGTAACCACAAAATTTCAATACGTAAATGAACCATAATTTTTAAACACTAATGGGGGGTTTTACCATTTTGTTTATAGTTAAAAGGACTATAATATACTCTAAATTATAATCAAAACCGGTCAAACAGTATTTTTGAAAATCTTATTTCCGTTTTTTATGGGTATTAATGGGAAAACAACAACAACAATAAAAAAAAAAACTTTTTAACCACCGTTTTTACAGCGATGATAGAGGGGTTGTAAGATTTTTTGAGCTAAAGGGCTATAACATACTACATTTCAATTAAACTCGTTCAGACTGATTATTTTAAGAGTACCTAACGAGAAAATCAACAAATTAAAATTTAAAAAGTTAATAAAAAACAAAGATTTTGACGAAATCAATGCTTTTCCATATACTATATGTATGTATAGGGAGAGAAAGTAAAATGTGGTCAGGACAATGATGCATTCTCTACTAAGTACTTGACAGACAATTCAAAGTTGTTAAAGGATTTCCTTCTCATTCCCTATAACAAATATTAGCGAATACAGCACAATGCTGCTGGCCAGGTATAAATATGCCATCAGGTGTGCGTAGTTCTTAAAAAAATAAATTTATTATAAATTGATTTGATTTAAAACGTGGACATATTTACACTAGGGGCCACGAGAGTCTGCAGTTGGCGGCAGCGAATAGCAAGACTGGACCAACGCACGTTGCAACATCGCCTCTGTTCACCAATTGTCAACACTAATTAAATTTTATATACTAAACAATATTTTCAAATCAGCTAGTATTGTTAGATTTGGCAACACCGCACTGTCCTCATTGGCTCATTCTAAGTCACGTGGTAATTAGGCTCCTCTTTCAACTGCAGACTCTCCTCGACCGTACTGTAGAGCACCATATTTTCATACATACGTCTTATTTGATTGTTCTGGAGCGTAAGAAGTTTTTGCAACCCTGATGCTCATTAATTGATTTATTTCTTTTTCTTAGCTTGTTCGTCGAATTTGAGATTTAATCAGCAGCATGCCGTAGAATAAATATTTCTTTAGTCACTCGCTGCTGTAAGCGTGCTTCACAATGGGGAGGACAAAATCTATCTATATATTAATAGGCAAGCATGTTTCTTTAAAACCTTTTTTCTCAGCTCGTGTTCATCGTAGGGAAAATCTACGCATACCGTTAGAAAACTATTTTCCTGTAGGTGTGCAGAATCCCTTTATAAATTTAAATAGGCTCAAAGATAAGCACAAAAAATGAGTTTAAAAATTTGAAAATATTAACATGGATCTTATGCGTTGCCATGCTGGTAACGAAAATAACAACGAAATATAAACAGAAAACCAAAACAAATGGAAGAAACTCAAATCACATGTTTTATTTACAGTGTGGGGTGAAAATAGATAAGTGAGTACATTACGTATTTTTGGTCGAGTTTCGACCACTGGACGACCTCTCGTTAATATTAATACATAGTACAGCAATCAGTTTTTATGAACGAGCTGCTATACCCGTGCTTGGCGATGGGATAATGTGCGAAAGAGAATAATGCGGTTCTTCAGACCTGACCTCGTGTATGAAATATTGCAGCTAAAAACTTAATGTTACCTACTAATTGGTTTAGTAAAATTCTCGTCTTTAAATTTAGATAAAGAGTTTAAATTACCTAGTTGTAAAAGAAAGTTCCAATATTTTTTTGTAAAAAATTGCAAAATTAGGCTGTGGGTGCATCTCGTTTTGCCTAATTTGACAACTAAAATCGAGATATTTCAGCTATTTTTTCAGACTTTTTTTAACTTGGTGTGGTTTTGATAGGAAACACAATATGCGAAATACTAGTATTCTTGACATTTTTTTCATGAAATCAAAAATTTTGATAATCAAAATTATAAATATTAAAATGGCTACAATTTTGAAATTTTAAATTGCACCAAAGTATTTTCTCTCTAACAGGTATCTTATAAACAAACATACCAGGTTTCGTAAAGATTGGTTTTGAACAATCTAAATATAAAAAATATTAATTTAAAGAATAAGCAAGCTGATATCTTGTCAACGATGCGATTAAAAAATGTAATTCTTTATTTTGACACCTAAAGCCATTTCCTGGAGTTTGGCTATTTACTTACGGGACGCCCTGTATACAGCTTGCAACCATACGAACAAACTTTGTTACGTTATTCAGAATGTCAAAAGAAACATAAAAAGTAGTATAACATGTGTCCTATTTTATTCAGTTTTCGGTCTATCTGTCTGTATGTGTTTTATACAAAAACACTGATAACGCTCGTGGTTTGAGCTACAGTGCTGAAATCCTGTAAAAAAGTGTTAATCTTTTAGCCATTATCTTTGTGCAGAGCAGAAATGAATAAAACCTTTTAAACAGTTTGAAAATGGCTGGTATTTTAAATATTTTATGCCAAATTCCACGAAACCCGTTAATTACAAAAATTAAATAACTTCTTAATCAGCAGTACGTGTTATTAAATTTACGGAAAGTAAATAAAAGAAACGTCTTATAACACTTAAAACATATATTTACGCTTATACTGTTACTCACAAGACGGTAAATATACAAAAAAGATGGTAAAGGGTGATCGATTTCAAATGGTCACTCCAATCATCATAAGACCGAATAGGCGAATGACAAGAATCTTGAATGGCGTCCCTACTTATAATATAATACAACAGCTATAATACTATACTACTGTAATACAGCATAATTACAAAATTTGCAAGTAGGGTAACGTAAGGTTTAGTACATTTTATACTGATATAAGCTTATTGAATAAAAATTAACTGAGGAATTAATATTTTCTAGCTGTACCTACAGTTTTCTCCATGTAAACAACGTGACTTTTTATATTCGCAAATCGATCTAGTTTTAGCAAATTTCCCATATTGGAATAAGATATTACGTCGTTGTCATTGTAAGACCTGCACCTGGCCGACCTGGGTCCGATTTACTGACTAAGGTCCCCAAAGGCCAAAAACACCATCCGTTCAGTGATAAATCGAACAAAAATCATCCGTGTTTGGGATAAACAAGTAAAACTAAATTTCTTCAAACAAGTTTGCACGCCATCACGGACTATTTAAACGGGGGGTTTTGGGTGGGAGGAGTTATGGAACAAAAATTGGGTTTTCCCATTTTTTTACACTAATACATTTAATTTTGTAATTATTTATTTTGAAACCATTCTGTAGAAGAAATTGTAAATTGAGGCGTTGTTATGCGTAGTATTTATAAGAAACGGTAGTATATACAACGGTAGTAAAAAGGTAGTAAAAAGGTAGTATGCACCTTATAAGTTAGACTAGCTTTAAAGAAAGATATTTGTTCAAACTAAGAGGTCCGATTTAATTTGGTTCCTGAAACCAAAGGCGGGTGTGTAACTATTTTATACGAACAGATTTTTAAACGTACAATTTTCTCTTCAGTGTCATCTCCGTTGTGAAGTACGGTTACAGCAGCTAATAGCGAATAAATATGACAATTTTAAAGTGATACTCTAGTGGAAATCCAATCCGGCAAATCCGCTTAGTCTGTATGTGTTCTGCGGCGGGTGTATTTTATTATTCCTTTTATTGAACTGTTCATGGACATGTAGCAACAAAAATTAAATATGGCTGGGAACTGGTACCATACACTTATTAAATTTAAGCGGTACCGGTACCTACAGCTGGCATTTTCTTTCATGACTTTAAGTAAAATGAAATTGCTGTGTCACATTCTCAATACGCGATTGAACTAATTACCCCTCTATTGTACTGTATGACGAAATGGTTCGTGATGGAACATATTAAATACCTGGATCTACCGTCACCACACCTATTGCGGACACATGACATGCCAACCCAGATCAGCATTAAATGCTAGAGATTCCACTTTGTTTAAATTAGATAACTTTGGGTTTCCCAGATAGCAAGAGAAACACGGGGGTCCTAATTTTAAGGAATGGACAAGGAGGTGATAATAATGTGAAATGTGTTATTTCTAGTATGGTATCGCTGAATTGTAAGACAAATTAGGCTGTGGAGCGGGAGGTAGGTGGGTGCAGAAGGATCAATAGAACAGGGCTCAATGCGATAGTTCGATACGACTAACCGGTTGTAATCGATACAACGCTCGCATCCCTTGCACCGGTAGGGTTTCATTGTTCGTGATTTCCTTTATTTCCGTTGACACAAAACTTTGTAAAAATCGATGATTTTTTAAAATAATTACATGAAATTCCATATCATATTTTTGTTTTTGCCTCTCAAAATTTTACAGGAGACAAATATTGCATTTGTAATTCGCCAAACCCTCTTTGAGAATTAATTTAAGTACAATTCCGCTACCGGTATTACAAATTTAAGATAAATTAAATATATAGATTAGCTATTCAAAATAATGTCAAATGGATAAATTTTAATACATATGTATTTTAAAGTGATCAATAGTTATCACATATTATGAACACTTCACTATATTTTTGCAGACGTGATCTTAACTCATCGTTTTCCCACTTAGTTATTATTTTAGTAGTCACGTAGGGCAATAAATCATGATTTGTTTAAGAAACTGGTTTCGTTATAATTAAATTATCAAAATTGTTCTGTTCGAGGAATTCCGTTTTTAATCAAATAAAGAAACAACTTATCTATTTAATAAAAGTGTGTATAGTATTCGTAAAATTTAGATTTGTTAAAACTATTTAATACAATTTACGCATGGAATTTCCAAACATACAATGACAAGTTTTAATTACGTTTCATCACCACACATTTTCGAAACACCGGATTACCGAATACTCGATTAACTCGGCGGTTATCGATAGTCGTGGAGCACCTTAGTTGTTCTCAGCCCTGCAGGAATGACGGACCTCCCTACCAGATAACATGGGTTCCTGGGCGTGTGCTTGGGCGTCCGCCCTCGTCCTCCACTCGGCCTTCTCAGCGTAAGTAGGCCTACCACCATAGCTCACGTTCCCGCCAAAACCACCCGGGGTGTACAGAAACCCGGGAACGGTGCAGACACGCTCTGCAGAATCAAGGTGTGGTTCAAGAACCCCTTGTGGTTTCGCTTATTATTTATTCCGTTGGAAGAATTCGATTAGACGAGTGTTGGTGTTTTTGGATTTTGTGTGGAGTGTAGACTATGGGAATTGTGTTTGTGAATATTCACTAGGACATCAACTCGACCCCGATTTGGAGAAACACGGACGGGCAATCTGCAAAAGAACTGCCTACGTAGTTTTGTGGTTGAAGTTGTAGGAGCGTTTCTTTAAAATACAGACAAAGCGGTCTATTGTTGCAAAGTTTGTATTGCGCTGAACAATAGAAAAAGTTAGATTTTGTTAACGCATGAACGGTTTGGTGTGAAAATCCTCAACCAACTTCTGAACTGTGTTTGAGGGAATAACGATAATTTTCTCCGTAACCAATAACCATTAAAAGACACTCCAATATACTAAATTATTTGATTTTTAAGCTCTTTAAAATGGTTAAATAAAAGAAACCATGGAGAAATAAGCCAAATTTTGTGTTTTTAGGGTAGAAAATGAGAAACCCCTATTTTTACCCCATAAACCCCCCATAAGACCCCGTTCCCATAGTCCGAAACTGCTGGTTTGCAAACTTATTCAAGTTTAACCCACACCTTCAAGCCAAATTTCATCAAAATTGGACAAAAATTGCAATAAATTGCTCAAGTTATCACGTTTACGGACATATATATATATAGATACATTATAAGTATGGTTGTGATTAGGGCTACTACTATATTAATAATTGGAAACATTATAACAACATTAAAATGAATTTAAAAGGGTACTTAATGTTGTTATAATGTTTCCAATTATTAATAAAGATACATATATATAAATCTGAATGAATGGTGTTTTTAGCCTCTAGTACATAAAATGAAAAAGTGTATCGGTCCCGGGACTAGGTCTTACCATGCCACCTACAGTAATATGTACTTCCTATAGGGAAATTCGCTAATACCATGTATAATCAATCAAATTGTTCATGAAATTAATTAAAAACTCTCACTTAAAAGTTTAATAAAAATATACATGTATAGCAAAACTCACAACACCATCGGTGACTCATGGAGTTGGGCTTTGTGCTCCGTGGCTCTTTGGGATTCAAATGATTAATAGCATTGAGTATTTAATAGGGGTTTTGCAGGGGAGGAGTGAGAACAAAATAATGTCAGGTCAGTTCATAAGAAGATGCATGGAGTCCTGTTACTACTAAAATTGCTAGGAGGCGATATCACATACTTTTCTATAAAAACAAATACACCCGGAGGAAAACTCCATGGTGTGTCACGTGGCCGGGGGTAATCGAACTCACTTTGATTTTCCTGAAGGTGAAAGAGATTTAGTTTCGAGTTCAATATTGACGAAGGGTAATGTTGTTTTTATGTATGTTGGGAAGTACAATTAATAATTGGCCATTTGCATCAGTAAAAGGTGACAAAATTATGGGAAGTATTTTTGCATTATTCAAGGTCCATGGCGTATATTTTGCACCGCTTTAACATAATTACAGAGATAAATCTACTGTTCCTGATGAGTGTAAAGACCCAACATTTCATAGTCATAAAAACGCGACAGCAAAAACTGTACAGGTTGAAATTTTACCAATATTTTACTATTAAAAAAGCTTATTATCAATAAAGCTTACTATTATACTCTATGGATGTAAAATGCAGAGCTATGAATGAATTATGAAAACGGTTAACTTCAGTTAATTAATGAATCCAAATTAGTTAGTTGTAATATATTCATTTACACAAATGAACATTAGAGGATTGATTAGACCAACAGTTTAAAGAACAAGGTCAATACCAAAGATCCAGGTGTTCAAGTTATTGGGTGCTGGCTGGTGATAAAAGCCAATCATCGGTCTCAGGTAAGAGACTCGAGACTCGACTCTCGGCTTTTAAAAGAATGTACAGTTCTCTAGAAAACTAAAAAGATTGATTTGGTTCACACAGTAGTCTAGTACGAGCTACATGAAAATCACTGCGAGTGCCAAGTGATGAAAATGTGTCTTTGTCAAATATCACGGCTTTAAATAGAAAAAAATTCAAATTAAAAGTATAGGTTACAATTTCTAGACCCAATCGGATTTTTTTTCTTATTTTTACACCGTATAAATTGTCAAAACTATTAGTAATATTAGTAAACTTGGGTGGATTGAGTATGTCCGATTGCAGTGCCATCTAGCAGTTACTGGGTTAACTGTGTCGAGCCTCGACGGTAGAGACATCTAGCGGTGATTAGGCGAACTGTTAAGAGCTAGACGGTAGTAGCCTAGCGGTGTTTTAGCGAATTATTATCAAAACGAAAACATCTTTGTAAATTAATTGCCAAAAAATAATAGAACGCACATGAAACATACAGAAACATGTTTCAAATTTAATATAGGATGATAAATCAACTCGCCGAATCCAAAGTCAATGTCCGTACTAAGTTAGATTGCCATTATTCCTGTATTTTATGAACTATTTTTGACCTGTTAGCATACGATTTTAGAAAGTGCTAAAATTATCATTTACAAATTTCTCTGTTCGTCACGAGAAGAATAAGTAAACATAAGGGTTCAATATCGTTAAATTACGATAGCTATATATTAATAGGCAAGCATGTTTATTTAAAACCTTTTTACTCAGCTCGTGTGTATCGCAGGAAAATTCTACGCATACTGTTAGAAAGATATTTTCCTGTAGATGTGCAGAATCCCTTTAAAATTAAAATAGGCTCAAATATAAGCACAAAAAGTTAATTTGAAATTTACAAAAAATAACATGGGCTTAATGGGTTGCCATGCTGGTGACGAAATAACAACGAAGTATAAACAGAAAATCAAAACCAATGGAGAAATTACAATCAAATGTTTACAGCGTGGGGTGAAAATAGAGAATCCTGACCTTTGACTTACAACTAGACATTCCATCCCCATGTTATAGTTGTTGCCAGCAATTTGTTAGTTAAATTATTCGTAGTTTATTTGAGCTACCAACAGATTGTGCTGATCTAAATGATTAATTACTGTCTAATAAACAATATTTTTTTACCAAGTCAAACTTATGAAAGGACTTATTATGGCTATAGAAACTGTTGTGACACATCAACTTTGTAAGCAAACAAAAATAACAAATAATAAGATAGAAATAATGATTTTGGAAACGGATTCTGTGACTGGCTCACACAACTACAAGTTTTTTAATAAAGAAAATTGCGACAGCTGATCCATATAGATGGAATGTCTACTTCAGTATCCTATAGTCAAGAGCACATTACATATTTTTGGTCGAGTTTTCGACCACTAAACGACCCCTAGTTTATTTAATTTAATATACTTTTTTTATAAAGAAAGTAAATATAAATAAATAAATACGGTATAAAGTAATATAATAATATTCTTGTAAAATATTTGAATTGGGACGGATCATTAAATTTCAGATCCACTAAGAACCAATACAGAAATATGAATGTATTTAAGAAATAAATTGAGCAAAATTGTAATGGGAATCCTCAGATTGGCTTGGATTAGGTAGCATTGACTAAGAAAATAAATCTATTCCCCTTTTCTGTGGCCACAGTAGCAAGAGCGCCTTCCATAAAGTGTAAATATACCGCATAACTTTACAGTATGACGGTAAAGAAATATAACTAGAAGGCGTCTGAAAATTTTATAAAACATTAAAATGTGTGAAAACATCAATTGGATGGCAGTTATGGATTCCAATAGCTATATTTATTAGGACTTAAAATCATAAAACTAAATAAGAAAATTACAAACTATACAGAGTGATTGGTACTCGGTGGGATAACATTTTTAGGTGTAAGTACAATGTAAATGAAGTATGATGATGAATATAATAGGTTCCAAATCTAAAAATTCGCTTCGCAAAGAATTATATTTTAGGTTTAAAAAATGGCCATGCTTTAAAATACATGTACATACAGCAATGTCTCAATTACCTGTAAATGGATTTGAGAAGATATTGTCGTTTTTGTGTTCTACTTTAAATTTTGCATTAGACAAATGGAAAATGACAGAGAATCAGAAGTAAAAACTCCATTGTTAATAGATTTAAAGATAAATACCCCCTATTTAAATAAGCATTATGTTTAAGAAGTACGTAGGTTTGCTGATACAAGGAGGGTAATAAAGTGTATTAAAGGAAAAATTAATAGCTTAGTATATAATAAATGAATTTGTAAAGTTTAATCAAAACATATCCATAAACAATCAAAATACAATAGTTTACTTATTCTACATAAGAATAAATATCATTTTCTCCGTAACCAATAATCATTAATGGACACTTTAATATTCTAAATTATTTGTTTTTCACGCTCTTAAAAATGGTTTAGAGAGAAATAGCTAAATTTTATGTTTTTACGATAGAACATGAGAAAACCAAATTTTTCCCTCATAACAACCCATATGGCCGTAGAACGATTGCCACACATTTTTAGCCGATTTGGAATAGCACGACTGGTAGAGGGTATTAAGAAAGGTTAACCTGTAAGGTTCGGAAAGGCAATATTGGCACAACAGACCGGTAAGGAAGTAGAAGCCAGAGAAAATGGGAATTGTTTTGTCCCCACAAATTCCCCGCTGTGGTGCTTATTGGAGTAGCAAGGTAAGTTTGCGCGACAAATCTGCATCTACGGTCACTGCGCTAGCTGGATCCAAATAAAACTACACTACACTAACTTAACCTAATCTAAACTAACCTAACTTTTAACCTTTGAAATTACGCGATATTACGGCAAATGACTGTCGTAGCAAGTTGACGGGGAATTTTAAACTTCCCGTTCTCCCTCGCAAAGTTTTGCATTATTCAAAGTCTATGACGTATATTTTGCACCACTTTAAAATTAAATACAGTGATAAAACTACTGTTCCTGATGAGTTACCCAACATTTCAGTC